GAAATGTCTGGAAAACAATTATTTTCACAGTAGACATGAATACAGGAGATTCAGGTTATTAGGTTTTATCCTAGGAGGCAAAAATAATAGAGTCCTTGATATATATTATATAATCAAATAAGTCTTCTTAAGAGATGGGAATACCAGATCACCTGACCTGCCTCTTGAGAAACCTGTATGCAGGTCAGGAAGCAACAGTTAGAACTAGACATGGAACAACAGACTGTCCAAATAGGTTCCAAATAGGAAAAGGAGTTTGTCAAGGCTGTATACTGTCACCTGCTTATGTAACATATGCAGAGTACATCATGAGAAATGCTGGGCTTGAAGAAGCTAAGCTGGAATCAAGATTGCCGGGAGAAAAACCAATAAGCTCAGATATACAGATGACACCACCCTTATGGCAGAAAGTGAAGAGGAACTAAAGAGCCTCTTGATGAAAGTGAAAGAGGAGAGGTGAAAAAGTTGGCTTAAAGCTCAACATTCAGAAAACTAAGATCATGGTATCCAGTCCCATCACTTCATGGCAAATAGATGGGGAAACAGCGGAAATAGTGACTGACTTTATTTTTGGGGGCTCCAAAATCACTGCAGATGGTGATTACAGCCGTGAAATTAAAAGACACTTACTCCTTGGAAGGAAAATTATGACCAACCTAGACAGCATATTTGGATAAGGCAATGGCACCCCACTCCAGTACTGTTGCCTGGAAAATCCCATGGACAGAAGAGCCTGGTAGGCTGCAGACCATGGGGTCGCTAAGAGTCGGAAACGACTGAGCGACTTCCCTTTCACTTTTCACTTTTATGCACTGGAGAAGGAAATGGCAACCCACTCCAGTATTCTTGCCTGGAGAATCCCAGGGATGGGGGAGCCTGGTGGGCTGCTGTCTATGGGGTCGCACAGAGTCAAACACAACTGAAGTGACTTAGCAGCAGCAGACGGCATATTAAAAAGCAGAGATATTACTTTGTCAACAAAGGTCCATCTAGTCAAGGCTATTGTTTTCCGGTAGTCATGTATGGATGTGAGAGTTGGACTATAAAAAATGTTGAGCACTGAAGAATTGATGCTTTTGAACTGTGGTGTTGGAGAAGACTCTTGAGAGTCGCTTGGACGGCAAGGAGATTCAACCAGTCCATCCTAAAGGAGATCAGTCCTGGGTGTTCATTGGAAGGACTGATGTTGAAGCTGAAACTCCAATACTTTGACTACTTGATGCGAAGAGCTGACTCATTTGTAAAGGCTCTGATGCTGGGAAAGATTGAGGGCAGGAGGAGAAGGGGACGACAGAGGATGAGATGGTTGAATGGCATTACTGACTCAAGGGACATGAGCTTGGATAAACTCCTGGAGTTGGTGATGGACAGGGAGGCCTGGCGTGCTGCGGTTCATGGGGTCGCACAGAGTCGGACATGACTGAGTGACTGAACTGAACTGATATACTTATGACTTTGCCATTTTTATGTACATGCATGCTTGCATGCTTAGTTGCTCAGTTGTGTCCAACTCTTTGAGACCGCATGGACTATAGCTTACCAGGCTCCTCTGTCCTTGGGATTCTCCAGGCAAGAATACTCGAGTGGGTTGCCATTTCCTTCTCCAGGGTATCTTCCCAACACAGGGATCGAACCCATGTCTCAAACATTGCAGGTGGATTCTTTACTGTCTGAGCTCCCAGGGAAGCCCCTTTATTTATGTACTCATAATGCACCCATATGTATAAATACACAGGGCTTCCCTGGTAGCTCAGCTGGTAAAGAATCCACCTGCCATGCAGAGGACCCCGATTCGATTCCTGGGTCAGGAAGATTCCCTTGAGAAGGGATAGACTACCTACTCCTGTATTCTTGCTCAAAGGATCCTATGGACAGAGGAGCCTGGCGGGCTACAGTCTGTGGGGTCGCAAGGAGTCGGACGTGGCTGAGCGACTAAGAACAGCACAGCAATGCACATAAAGATACAAATGTATATATATGCACATATATATGCAACAGGATGGTTAAATAAAATTATCTGTAGAAGATGAATTGTCCATTGCTTATGCTGTTTATCTATGGCATGCTTGCTTTCAGTAGGCTTCTCTTGTTAATTTCTTTTGTCCAAAATATTTTACATAGTGCATTTACAGCTTACATCCTAATTTTATTCCTTTTTCTTGCTTGACCTATTTGTAAAATTTTTCAACAAATATTTCTCTAATCAAGTTTGCGTTGCTACATAATACTGTCATTAAATTGATACTTAGTATACATCTTTATTCATTTAAGTAATATCTTTTAAGCATTCACTGCATGTCAGTTTCAAATGAAGATAAGGTAATACAAATACATACCATTGTTTCTTACTTAAAATTTTTCATTATTTTGAGTCACTTATGTCCAACAACTTTTCCGTTGTTTTAACTTGTTGCTATAGGATAAAATCCTAGGACAGATATGCCCAATGTCACTGATAATGGGGAATTTGGAGCAGGGGGCAAGTATTCTGAGGACTCATCACACTGACTGTGATATTACTTTCTCTATGAAGTTTTGATTTCCAGTGTTACTATGTATGTATTTTGAGTGTGGCAAATTTACTGCCTCGTTTGCATCATTATTGGCTGTTACAGTATTTATAGGTGGTCTTTCATGGGATGTCCTTTTATGATGGTCTTATTGGTGGTTTTATATGATAGCTTTATGATAGCAATGCTAAGAAGAAAATCGTATAATTCCCCCTCCTCCCACCTTTGAACTCCTAGAAATGAGACTGTGAATGAGTTTTGAGTACTTAGAAGCCAAATACTTCCAAATTAAAAACTCATCATACTATGAGCAGGCCAGACAAGCACTGCATTACTAAGAATTTAAGCAATAGCATGAAGCACTATAAATACCAGGTTTTACCTCCTGCAGACCATCTACTTCATTGGGTAGCAGCACCATCATGCTTAGCTCTTCGCCTTTGTACGGTATTTCCAGGATCTTGGCTTGCACATCCTCCAGTGACACGAAATTGAAATGATTGGTTTGTTTCATCATCTGCACATGTTTGCTTTTATCCTGTAATAAATTCATGTGACAAAGAGTGCTAAATAGGCATAAGTCATAAAGAAAGATAATCTTGTTCAGATACCAAACATATCCTCCTTCTAAGAGATGATCTGGAAATTTTGTGAATTAGAGATAAGAATTCCTTCAGGGGATCCCAACTAAATAAAGTTAAAAAAAAAAAAAAAGACAAAAAATAAGCCTTGACGAATTCTATCTCCTACCTGCAGTTATATATTAATCAATATGTATTTACATTTCACAGTGCATATGTAGTTACATTATGTTATATGCATATCTTATAGACAATACCTTGTTCAGCCAAAATTTTTCCTCCACAGTATTTTCTTTCTTAAATTCCTCTTGCCACTGCCCTTTGAAATAGATAGCGTTCACCAGAACCAGAACAGAGCCATTGAGAGAGTTTTGGGGAAACAGATCCTTGATTCTTCCTGCAAAGACAAATTATCAATTAGGAAAGGCACAAGCAGTTTGTCTCTAAGATGCTCTGAAAGTTACAAGTGATGATTAAATATTCATACAAATCACCCCTCGAGGGACTCCATGCCCAGCGGTTCACCAGGTGAGTCTTTGCTTATGGCCCCAGCCTGATGGAGTTGTCCTCATGGAGATGCCCCTGCTTCTGACTGGGAAGGTGTTCAGTCTGTGTGTGTGGGGACATCAGTCATCTCACAAGGAATCCTGATGAACTGATTTCAGTTGATTTTACTGGTCAGTTTTCTTTCCTCCCTTCCTGTTCGCTCAATAGCTTTATCTCTTGTCTAGTCAATCCTTCCTTCTATTCTTCTGTTCTTCCTCACTTTATTCTTCGATTGCTATTTTCAGATTTGAACTTAGCAATCAGAGGAAATGGGCCTGAATGTTCTTTAGGACAAATGATACGAACACTAAAATCTAGAACACGTACCCAGACACCATTCCCTGGGGTGTATTTGTCTTCATTCTCAACTTTGAGTTGCTATAGGTTAGATCTGTATTTAGGAAGGGAAGTAGGATAAGGTTCATGGTCTGGAGATGTTGTCCAGCCCCCTCCCTGGGTGGGGAGGACACCTGTGACATCCTGTGGGAGGGGGATGTGGGCCAGACATCTCCTGCTGCAGGTGGTCATTTTGGCAAGATGAGTGGTTTAAAGGAGAGCGGCTTGTTTCCCAGTTAAGAAAGCAAAAGGGAACTCTTCATATTTTCTCTTATGGATCATAATCCAGAAGTTAAGCCTCTATTTGAAAGAAAAATTTATGAATTAACCTAATGTTTGAGCAGAGACTTGGGATCCACAGTCACTGTCATGACTCAGCTGTGCCTGCGGGGGGCTGTCCTGGGAGCCCCCCGCCCGTTCCTCTCCTCACTGACGTGGACCGTCCACCCCCTGCAGGCCTCCCCACCCTCTGCAATCTCATCTCACCCCGCTCCCGGCAGCCCCGTCAGGGTCCAGCACTGTGTTCACACACAGTGGGGGCTCAGCAGTGATTTTAACGGGTGACTCTCTCATAACCTACCATTGGTTTGGCTCTCCACCCAGGAGCTAATCATCTTGCGACTTTCCTCTGCAGCACTGACAAAATCGGCAGATTCCACGCTGGCCAGGTAGTATTTTTGAACATTATCCATGTATTCCTATGACATGAGCAGGAAGAAAGGAAGAATGAAGAATTATTTGTCAGTAACTGTGTAGGTATTCCCAAATTAAATCAAATGTGTTCAATCCTGATCAAGCAGAGTTCATAGGCCAATGCCTAGGCACCGCCCCCCCCCCCCCGACTGGTGTGCTATCAGCCTCTGGGACACTCCAGTGGGTAGGGTTGTGGTTGGGGAGCCTGGTGCCCCTGGGAGAAATGCCTCGTGTGGGTCCCCAGGCTCCTCTGCCTGCCTCCCCCCCCCCATTAGGAGATGGGGCCCGAGGACCCAGGATGCAGACTAAAGGTGTGACAGACCAGGAAACTCACCTGGAGAAATGGAAAGTCTTTTCTTCCATAGAGCCTGTTGGCGACACTCAGCTCATAGGCATCAGTGGATTTCTTTAATTCCGTCAGAAGCTTTTGAAAGTGATGATGAACATTTCCTGGCTTTTCAACCTTCAAACATCAAAAAGTGAGCACACTGGATTCTCTAACAATATAAGTACTGCACCCACATAAGTCTGCTTGATCAGTACCTAGATTTTGGTATTTCTGTGGATGACTGTTGTTCTTTCCTCGTATTTGGTGTATTTTACTGGAAATATACTTCATAAACTTACATTCAATCTTTCAGGTAATTCTTTCTTCCTTCTCCAATAGACTCCAATCTTTCCTCTTTTAAACGACACGTGCAGCAGCATTCCACCCTTGCCTTGTGCCTTCACTGTCTTAAATGTGTGTGTGTGTGTTAGTCACCAGTCATTGCTGACATTTTGTGACGCTGTGGACTGCAGCTTGCCAAGCTCTTCTGTCCATGGGATTTCCCAGGCAAGAATACTGGAGTGGGTAGCCATTCCCTTCTCCAGGAGATCTTTCTGACCCAGGATCGAACCCAGGTCTCTCGCATTGTGGGCAGATTCTTTACCATCTGAGCCACCACTTAAGCCCCTTGAATGTTTAGGGATCAGTTAAACCTGAGCTTCTTGAGGCCTAATGCATCGTATTGCATCTTTAAGAGTCATCAACTGTATGAGAACATGCAATTTGTGTATTGTCGTAGATTATGACATGAAGTCCTGTTATACGCCTTGGTGAGATTATCTTCTAAGACCGGTTGACTGTGTTCTATGGCTGTTCACTGTGATCACACATAGTGGTCACACTTCCCGGTGTAGGAAGAGTGTATGCCCGGTAGCTGTACACCAGCATCTCTAAGTCTTTAGTTCAGTTCACATGAAAACAAGAGAGTTCAGAGAACTAAGCGACTTCTCCAAGGAGACAGAGCCAGTGCTTGTCTCAGTCCCTGGTTGGGGAACTAAGATCGTGCAGACGGCATGGTCAGCACACAAAAGGAGCCCTTCAACATTAAGCTCCTTAGACCCTCTGCTCCGAAACACAGGCTTCTCTGCAGAAACCAAGCGTCTGATATGCAATGTGACATCAGGAATGACTCTGCTCGGTCTGTTCTGCCAGGTGCCCCATGCACATGTGCTCAGTCGTGTCTGACTCTTTGCAACCCCACGGATTGTAGCCCACCAGGCTCCTCTCTCCACGGGGTTTCCCAAGCAAGTACACTGGAGTGGGTTGCCATCTCCTTCTGCAGGGGACCTTCCCAACCCAAACTCGTGTCTCCTTCATGGCAAGTGGGTTCTTTGCCCGCTGAGCCAACAGGAGAGCATTTTAGCCTAGGATGTCCTCTAAAAATTGACTTTTCCCAGTTTATCTGAAATTCCCAGTTTAACCAATAACCCTCTTGGATATATGACCTCTTTCTAGATCCAGTGCTGTGTGACTCACGGGATCTTTTGTGGCCCCTCCTTTTGTGTTGGCTGTGATTTCACTGAAGTGAAGGACCTGGAGGAGACAGAGAGTGGGACAAGGAAACTTTAGAAACCTACGTACTCAAGGTAAATAAAAAAAGAAATAAAGAAGGAAGGAAAGAATGAATCCAAACAAGCAAAACGAATTGCTAAGCAACAACAACAACAAAACCAAAAAAAAAAAAAAAAAAAACCGCAAGGAAAAATCCAAAGAGCATCAAAGAAATGTTCAATACAAGCGTCTGCTCCTTAAGAAACACAAACTGTGTGCACAATGCGCAAAACTAATTTATAACAAGTCACTTCAAAGAATCCTGGTCTATTTTGTAGTCATTGTTGAGGAAACGTGTTTAAAAAAAACACTAAAAACATGGGTTTTAGTCAGTGCCTCACTTCTTTCATTAAAGCCTCACCTCTGGCTGCTGGGCGATTGTAGGGGGTCATCCCAGCCCCCAGAGGAAGTCCAGGCACAGGAAGGCGGTGGGGAGCCCTGCGGGAGAGTGTGTGCCCCTCTCTGTGCCCACCCAGTCGTGGGGCTGCTTGAGCTTCCCGTGGGACCCCGGGGGACAGCCAGACCTGTGGTCATCTGCACTCCAGCCAGCAGACAAACCATGCAAACCTGTGACGGAGAGGCAGCTGCCACCTACCTTCTGCATTTCTGATGCGGTGTTTTCTCGGGCCCCTAAGTAAGTCATGGCTAAGGCTGACGAGATACTGAAAGGGGACAGGAAGATGTTTTCCTTCTCTGATTTTCTGATCTGGTGGAACAGATCGATTGCAAGGTGGATGATTGCTTCACCGAGGGAACTCATGGTGGCTGGATGTGGTCTGGAAGTCCTGGAAGAGCATCGGATGCATTTTATAATCACTCTAGTGAAGGGAAGTTTGTTAGTCTATAATAAAGTTTTCTTAAAAGAAATGTCCTGTATGTGAGTTGTCGGATTCTGCCAACTCTGTGTGTACATACTCAGCCCTTCAGTCGTGTCCCACTCTGCAACCCCACGGACTGTAGCCTGGTGGGCTCCTCTGTGCATGGGATTCTCCAGGCAAGAATACTGGAGTAGGTTGCCATTTCCTTCCCCAGGGGATCTTCCCGACCCAGGGATCAAATTCATGTCCCTTGCATTGGCAGGTGCATTCTTTACCACTGTGCCACCTGGAACTATAGCTTCTTTCCTTTTACTTTTAAAGTTGTTTCCCATGTATATACTTCATACTTAGAAGACTATAGAAAAACTTTTGTAAAAACTAATAGAATATCTGTATCTTTTCTTCCTTAACTGCTGTACTAAGACTGGGTAGAGAAGACCTTATAACAGATACCAAAGCAAAGACTGATGTGATAACATCCAGCCATCTATCATGAGGCACCTCTCTGCCATTTTTTAATTTAAGAAAAAAAAAAAAAACTGGCTGCCCTGGGTCTTTGTTGCGGTAAGCAGGCTTTCTCTTGATTTTTGGAGAGCGGGGCTCTTCTCTAGGTGAGATGCACGGCTTCTCTCTGTGGCGTGTCTCCTGTTGTGGAGCTCGGGCTCCAGAGTTCCGGCTCCTTAGCTGTGGTGCCCGAGCTTAGTTGCCGCTTGGCATGTGGGATATTCCCGTAGCGGGGATGGAACCCGGGTCCCCTGCATTGGCAGGCGGATTCTCATCCACTGGACCACCAGGGAAGCCCTGCATTTTTCTTGAAGGATTTGTGTGTGCTGCACCTCCTACCCCTCATCACACTTCCTCCTAAGGAAGTGTTTGTGTTTTGGAAATAAATAAATTACCTAAAGGTTAAAGCAGATGAAAAATTGTTTTACTTTTGCCCTGGCTAAATAATAAAATACAATCACACAAAATGAAACAGATAAATGATGTACAATTGTATAGATAAATAACACATCGTTGTTGTTATTTTCAGAAAAGATTCATGTGGCTCAGCAGAGCTGCTGGAAGCACTTATCTGTGTTCCTGGAGTGAGCAGAGGTGGGTGGGCGGCAGTCTGTAAGCCTGTGCTGTGAGCGCTCAGCTCCTCAATATATGCCTCTCTCAATTCCTCCCTTTTTTCACAGAAGCTGGTATTTCAAGTAAATCAACTTTCAGTTTCTTCAACAGGCTATCCATCACTTTCATGAGCATGAAGTTTCTATGAGTAAAGACAAAGTTATTGTTCTTTTCTTGTATGTCCTTTTCTTTTGTGGAAGAAATTGTGACATGCAATCACTAGCTCATATGACATGCATGTATGTGTCTTTCTAAGACCAGCAAGAATAAAGTTAAATTCCAACTTCTTCATGTTCCCTAAGCTACTATTCCCAATGAGAACCCTTAAAAAGTCTTTCTTCTCTTACACATTGAGTTGCCTTCAAGGCCACTGCTAGTACAATTCTAGTAATTAAAAAAGTACAATTAGAAAATTACATTTTCTAATCTATATTCTGAAGGAGTTTGTCCAGCCTGACCACCATTTCCTTAACAGTTATTCTGTATCACCAGGGAAATGTTTCAGACTCTCAGCTTGAGAGATGCTGGCGAAGGGTCTTAGCAGCAGCAGGTGGAGAATGGGTGCATGCGTGCTTACTCGCTTCAGTCGTGTCTGACTCTGCGACGCCAGGGACCGTGGCCCCCCAGGCTCCTCTGTCCATGGGATTCTCTGGGCAAGAACACTGGAGTGGGTTGCCATGTCGTCCTCCAGGGGATCTTCCCGACCCAGGGATCGAACCCAGTCCTCTTACTTCTACCTGCACTGGCAGGCGGGTTCTTTACCGCTAACGCCACCTGGGAAGCCTGGAGAACAGGTGTTCCTCGCCCTCCCCTAAAGGCAGGACCGCGGCCTCGTGATCTCCACTCCCGCCCCCACCACCCGCCTGGCAGCCCGTCCCGAGGGTCCCCACGTTCGAAGGTCAGAGAGAAGCTTGTCTCTCTGCAGTCACCTGCTCTCAGTGAGGAGAAAAATGGATAAACAGGGGGCATTTGGGGGGCAGTTTTCTGATTTTTACACAAAGATGTATCAGAAAAATAAATTGTTTGGGCTCCAGAATCACTTTTCTCCATCAGCTTGCACTGTAGCAAACCAGCTTCTGATTCATGGTCAGGACAATAGAATCAAATGCTGGTTTAAAAAAAAAAAGATAAAAATTGTTCTTTGAACACTACGGTTCGATCTTGTCACTGGAGCTGTCTTCTCCTCAAGGGTGCTGCATTCTCATAACAGAGCAATATTAAAAACTGCAGACTTATACTGTTGGTGTTGTTCATTTGCTCAAGCGGGTCTGACTCTTTGCGACCCTTTGGACTGCAGCACACCAGGCTTCTTTGTCCTTCACTAACTCCCAGAGTTTGCTCAAATTCATGTTCATTGAGTTGACGATGCTATCTAACCATCTAATCCTCTGACATTCTCTTCTCCTTTTGCTCTCAATCGTTCCCAGCATCAGGGTCTTTTCCAGTGAGTCAGCTCTTCGCATCAGGTGGTCTAAGTATTGGAGCTTCAGCTTCAGCATCAGTCCTTCCAATGAATATTCTGGGTTGATTTCCTTTAGGATTGACTGGTTTGATCACCTTGCTGTCCAAGGGACTCTCAAGAGTCTTCTTCAGCGCCAAAGTTTGAAAGCATCGATTCTTCGACGCTCAGCTTTCTTTATGATCCAACTCTCACATCCATACATGACTACTGGAAAAACCACAGCTTTGACTAGACGGACTTTTATCACTAGTTGGCAAAGTGGTTTCTCTGCTTTTTAATACGCTGTCTAGGTTTGTCATAGCTTTCTTTCAAGAAGCAAGCATCTTTTAATTTCATGGCTGCAGTCACCATGTGCAGTGATTTTGGAGCCCAAGAAAATATGACTTTTACGGAGGGAGTATGTATTGACCCATTTTCCTCTTTGCCACCTTTTCCAGGATGGTGCCTCTGTGTTCCCCATTTCACAAGTGACAGAAACAAGGCCCACAGCAGCAGAACAGAAGCCCAGGTATACAAGGCAGTGAACTTCTCAGGTGACTTCCCCAGGCAAGTAGCTGGTTCGAGGAGGCTGCGTGTGCACTCACTCGCACAGGGAAGTGTGTAGACAGGCTCTTGGATTTTACTGACCTATCTCCTTGTGTCAAGATGAACAGAACCTGTTTTTCTGCCCTCTCAAGAGATATCACGTCATCCCACAAAATCTGAAGGGGTGGGAATGGGTCTCCATATTCTTCTCCGTGGGACCCACAGTCACTCAAGGGAAGGCTGGGCTCCACCCAGAGACGCCATCACAGTGAGTAGGGAATGGGATTGGAGCGGTTTCCTCTGGGGATGTGGCTTACAGAGAAGGTCAAACCGTGCTTACTCAGCATTCCCCCAGACTGCTCTATCCAGCTGGGGTTTAGCAGAAATGAGTCACCGTGGGAAGGGAATAAAGGTGGACAAAAGAACGTGTTTTTCTCCAGAGTACACTGTTCCTGAAGGCATGGCTGTCAGTGGAAGGGTTGCATTTCCATGGCATTTTGTCCAATATTTCCCCTTTGAAAGTGTGTGGAGTGTTTGTACTGTGGACTGACTTTCCAACCGAGTCACAACTCACATACAGTCAGCCCTCCAAACCCAGGGGTTTTGCACCCATAGACTCAATCAAGCAGATTGAAAATATTTGGAAGAAATTCTGAAAAGTTCCAAAAACCAGTCCTTGAATTTGCCCCACACCAGGAACTACTTCCCACTGTATTTACTACCCTTCAAATAGCCTTTACACTGTATTAGGTAGTATAAGAAATCAAAAGGGGATTTAAAGTATAAAGGAGAATGTATGTAGGTTATATGTCATTTCATAGAAGGTATTTGAGTATTTCTATATCCTTGAGGTATCCTTGAATCAATCCCCTATAGATCTCAGGAAATGTCTGTAGTGTGCTGTTGCTAAGTCACTTCAGTCATGTCCGACCCTGTGCGACCCCATAGATGGCAGCCCACTAGGCTCCCCCGTCCCTAGGATTCTCAAGGCAAGAACACTGGAGTGGGTTGCCATTTCCTTCTCCAATGTGTGAAAGTGAAAAATGAAAATGAAGTCGCTCAGTCCCGGCCGACTCGTAGCAACCTGATGGACTGCAGCCTACCAGGCTCCTCTGTCCATGCAATTTTCCAGGCAAGAGTACTGGAGTGGGGTGCCATTGCCTTCTCCAGCCTGTAGTGTAGATTTCATCTTTTAAAACTGTAAAAGTCATTGGCTTTTGGCCCACAGATAGGGTTATGCAACCATGACCATGATCTGTTCCAGAATAATTTCATTACTCCCCAAGAAGCTCCCTCCACTATTCTTCCTTCCCCTCTTTGGAAGCCACTGATCTGCTTCTTGTCTCCATGGGTTTGTTTATTTAGAGCATTTTGTATAGATGGAATTGCACAGTATGTGGCGTCTTTTAATCAGGCTTCTTTCACTCAGCATAATATTCTCAAGTTTCATCCACAATGTTGAATAAATGGTGCATCATTACTTTATATGACTATATTCTGCTCTGTCATATGAAATATCACTTAAAAAAATCCATTCATGTGTGGATATACATTTGGGTTTTGTGTACTATGGTGAATAATGCCAACATGAACTCTCATGTAGAAATTTCACGGTGGACATATTTCTTAGGCATTAACCTAAGAGTGGAATTTCTGGGTCAATGGTAAGTCTATGTTGGATTGATTGATTGGTCGATTTTTACTCTATGCTTGATTTAGAAGAACTACCAGACTGCCTTCCCCAGCAGCTGCACCGTTTTGCTTTCCCACCAGGCTAGGAGAAAGCACGCGTGTGTGAGCGGCCAATTCTCTCCTCACCCCGCACTCAGTACTGAGCTT